CTGAAGCTGCTGGTAGACATCGCGGTTGGAATTATCAAAGGTTTTTGACACCTGAGAGACACCGTAGCAACTCCTTTTTGTTTGGAAGCAGGGGGTGGGGGTGGGGGGGACCAGGGAGGATGATTCAACCACTCAACCACTAGATGTCGCTGAAAACAACAAATCCTACACACTGTGCCTTTAAGCTATAACATTATTTTTCCCACAGAACACTACTAATGATTTCTATTTCTGAATTAGGCTTCCTGACTAAATGACTATATGGATAAGTATTTGGCCACACTGGACCATCACACTAACAGTGACCATATGGAGRTTATTCATTCCTAAGGTGATCCATTGGGTGAAGCTTTAAGGCTATGTACCAATCACTWAAGTTTCTCTACAGACCCATCAAATCATTTCTTGATGGTCTTGCTTTGTACACCGAGGCACATCCGCATGGGAAGAGGAAATATCTTTTTTAAAGTTGGAAGTATAACATTTCCAAAACTGTCTTGGTATGTTAAAGCTTTAAGATTAAAATAAGAAACTTAGCCCAAACCCTGGATGAAACTCAATTCATCCATTCATTTTTTCACTTCTTCTTTTCCCTGTGATTCCGTGTCATGAGGGTAACTGATGCCCATGTCCACCAGTCATGCGAGGGATGGGGTACACCCTGGACAGCTCGCAAGTCTATCACAAGGCCACATGGGACAAAAGAGGCAAAAACTATTAATGCTCTCACCCATATCTGGAGAAAATTTAGAGTTGCCAATTAACCTGCCATGCATGTTCGTCTGCGGGAGGCCTTAGTGTCTGGTGAAAAATCTATGCATCCGTGGACTGAACATGCAAACTCTATCCAGAAAGGTACCCGACCGGGATTAGACCTGACAACCTTCTTCCAGCTCTACCAACTGTGGCATCGTGTCACCCCTACTTAAAACTACTTCCATTCATCCATTGTCTTCCATTTGTTCCAGAGTCAGGTTGTGGAAGGAGCAGCTTAAGCATGAAGGCCCAGACATCTTATCCACATCCACCTCTTCCAGCTCTTCTGGAAAGACTCCAAAACTTTCCCTATCCAGCTGAGAGACCTGGTCTTTCTAGGGCAACCAGGGTCTTCTRTGAGGTCTCCTCCAAGTCATACATGCCTGAAGCCCCTTCCTATGGCGGTTTCTGGAGAGTCAKCTCAACTGGCTCCTCTCAATGTCTGTCTTACTGCCACCAATGCAAATCAAACTTTTGCACTTCTTGTATAGGGACTGAATAGCCTGTAATGGACCCACAATCTCATACTCACAGAGCACCCTCTACAGTGCCCCTCGAGYAACAAATGTCTTACCCTAGTGAGGGTAAAGAGCTGATCCAGTGTTTCAAGGCCAGGATGGAACCTGCAWTGTTCCTCCTTAATCTGAGGTTCAACCATCAATTGGATTCTCTTCTCCAACACCCCTTATTAGAACRRATTGGGGAGGCTAAAGAGAGTGATGCCCCTATAATTGAAACACACCATCCAATCACCTTTTTAAAGAGGGGAACCACCACTCCAGTCTGCCGCTCCAGTGGCACAATATTCCTTCCATCTTTCAATGACACTACTGGTTAAGGTTAACAGCACCCCACCTTCACTGAAGGCATGAACATCTACCAGTCATAAAACAAACTGAATTAACTTACTTGCATATCCTCTTTGTGGTTCAAATAAAGAATGAAGGGGGTAAAGGTGAAGAGCAGCCTTGCGTTATGTCCAACAATGGCAGGTAAACAAGAACAGGTGTTTATTCACCGGAGTGAACACCCGCAGGCAGCGTTCATGATCAGCTCCTCAAAACTGCTCCTGCTAATTTATTGAGCAGCTCCTGCCATCCAGCTGGACCGTACTGGAAACTCACTGCTGCACTGAGTTTACTCCAGTACATCCACAGGTGGGGTCCCCGCAAGGACTAAAAAATTCTGAGGTCTTTGTAAAATTAGGAACAGCATTATATAACTGTGAGGATTGAATTAAAACAGGGATCATATTAAACAGTAATCAAAATATGTCATGTAGATTAATCCTGATCTAAACTACATGACACAGCAACATTTTAGTTTGTTTAAAAATACAGTATATTGAACCACAAAGAGAATCTCCTAGTAAGTTAATTCAGTTTGTTTTATGACCAATGCCTTGCGCTGCAAGAGAACTGGAGGCTCCCTGTAGTCACTTCTAGTCTTGTCCTTTGGTTGGTGATTTATTCWGGTGCTTTTGCAGACTGCTGAATCTCTGTCCATCTTTCCATCTAAGATTTCTGGCCTCTCTAAAATGCTCTTGTGTGTGTGCAGGCTGTCAGGCTGTCTGATCACAGAGGAAGGCTGTGCTTCTCTGGCCTCAGCTCTGAAGTCCAACCCCTCCCATCTGAGAGAGCTGGACCTGAGCTACAATCATCCAGGAGACTCAGGAGTGAAGCTGCTGTCAGCTGGACTGAAGGATCCAGACTGGAGACTGGACACTCTCAGGTATGAAGAGAACTGCTGCAGACACAAATTCTAACAAAGAAGAAAGAAAGAAGGGTTTTCTGCCCATCAAATAGCCACTGAACCTTTGCTTCATGATGAAGGTAATTATTGGACAGAGAGAAATTGTTAGCTTTGCACCATCTACAGGAAAAAAAACTATTAGTAAAATGTAAACTGTTGTGGAGTGTGACAGCCACATGATCTTCAAGATGTTCTGTTCAAACGGATGTGTCCAAATGTTGTACTGATCCTTTCTCACTGTAGAACAATGTGTAGATGAGAGCCATGTAATCTGCATGTTTGTTGAAAGAAACTTATGTTCTGACCCCACCTCCTACTTTCAGGGTGGAGCCTGCTGGAGAGCGATGGTTGACACCAGGTCTGGGGAAGTGTAAGTGTGTTGTTTTTAGTCGATTTATTAACCAAATGTAAAATGATCACAATCACTGATTCAACTACATTGTTTTGTGATATACAGCAATCTCAAATCTGGGAATATTAATTCTTATCATCATTGATTTTTAAAGTGATCCACAATTATTTGTAACATTAGACTTTACTTGATAAACATTTATTTAAACTGTAAAATAAAGACTGTAAAAATACTGTAGGCTATTTAGTTTTTATAAATTTTTGATTAAATTTTAAAAAATATATTACACGGACCATTTTTTAACCATTTTATTTACACTCAAAACATACTGAGTAAATGATGACGTCGACTAGGTCATCGGTGCGAGGCTGCTAGCGAGCTATATCCACCCTGAAGGCTAATCTTGGACAATATCTGACGATCGACTAACAAGCTAAGCTGGGGGTTTCCTTACATGAATCAGAATTAGAATCAGCTTTATTGTCCAAGTATGTTGACACACACAAGGAATTTGTTTCTGGCTGATGATGTCTCTCCAATACACATACACACAATATACACAGGGATAGAAACACAATAACATAACACATAAACATTATAGTATGTGTCCTGATGCATCTCAGTAAGCCAGGTAAAAAATCAAAAAGAAAAAAATTGTATAGGTCTTCTGGACGGGTTCTTCTCCACAAACAGAGCAATGTTGTATATGCTGTTAAGTGCCAGGAGGACTGTGACCAGTTATACAT